CTGCTTCAACCTCCTCTCTGCCGCACAGCTGATGAAGTACAGCGTCAAAACGCACTGAAGCATGATGGAGTTGGAGTTAATCTATAAGGGGACACTCATCGGCAAAGTGAGAAATGACAAGGGGGTGCTCATGTTTAACTTTGACGTACCTGGCAATGTCGGCGAGAGTCACCGCATCCTCATAATTACGACTCCCAGGCAGGAGTCCCCACTAGGATGGATGCACCCAGAAGTAACAGATTTGGAGCATCCTGAACTAGATTGGTGACCGGCATGACCTCAACCCCTAAGACACAGGACCATAAAGGATGGAAGAGAAGCAACAAAGAGAGAAGGACGGGGATATGGAAGAGAAACAACACCGAATGTCTGGAGAGATGTGCTGGATCCTCATTGGCCAACATACAAAACAGGCTGGGAAGCTCCCCCTGGAGATATGACACAAGCCACCGAATGTTGGGAAGCAATATCGCCAGAGGTTACAGCGGAAGGAGCAGGAGAAACAGAAGAAAGGGCAATGAATGTTACGGAATGCGCGACAGACTTACCTGCACAAGATGAAGAGGCGTCACCTTCCGAATATGGACCATACCTCATCCCCTTCACCACTAACGGAAACACCTACTTCCGCCTCGACACACGGGGGCTAGTGGTAGGCGGCATTATAGAGGAGGCAGTTCCTTTGGTCAAACGGACTGAAGAAGAACCTATGTACACAAAAGAAGGAGCTCATCCACCATATCAGGGACCCGAAATCTCAAAGCCACATACTATGGGAAGTGGCAGGTCACGGGGCCGACAACGCAGAAATTGAAGGGAAGAACCTCACCATCCTTCACGCAACCGCCATCCAAGCTTTTGCAACCGATGCCACTGCTAAAGCAGACAAAACACATGCAACAAGAGAGCAAGAGCAGTTAGCCCAAATAGCACGCCTCTACCCATGAACAAGAGGACACTGGGCAACAACATAAATAGGGCATCAATAACTTGAACATGCTTCAAAGCCCTTATCATTGCCATCACTACTTAATTCGTCAAGGATGACGCCCTGTTTTGGGCACAACCGCACATCTACACATTTTGTTCAGAAGCCACCCTGACACACTGCGAACAAGCTATCCTTTTCCAGAATGAATCCTATACCAAAACGTGTCGAATCGCGCGACAAAGTTTACAACGACTTCTTGTGCTTAATGGCTCATTCTTGACTCTCTCTACAAACTCGGACCCGTAGATAGGGGCTGGTCTTGTATCAGGCACCCAAGGACCCTTGGAGGTGACCCCGAGGAGAGGTTTTAAGTTTGATTAAGTCTTAATAGCTTGAGTTTATTAGGCCCTTACACCAACACAGGTCGCGGCGACGACGATGAGGCCGGACATTGCCTTCGCGTGCCGCAAGATGGGAAGCGGCTTGACGGTGAGGAGCAACCAGCACTGGCGAGAGGTCGACCGGTGCCTCCCCTATCTCGCCGACATCCATGACACCGCCCTGGTGTTCGGCGGTGGACCAGAGTCACTGAAGTTGGTCGGTTACGTGGACACTGATGACGCGGGCGAGAAGCAGAACAGGACTTTCGTCTTAAGTGGGGCCGCGGTCTCCTGGTCAAGCTAGCGCTTCAAGTGCACAATGCTCTCCTTGACGGAGTCGGAGTACATCGCAGCCATGGAAGCTGGCAAGGTGGCTCGACGGATTTGCTTCCGCATTGCAAAGTTCCAGCTGCTCGACGCTGGGACGCCAACTGTCCTTCAGGTGGACAACAAGTCGGCAATTACGGTCGCTGAGGGCTTGGGGCTGCAGGACAACCTCAAGCACATGGAGCGAAGCTACACCTGGCTGCAGCACATGGTGAAGCGTGAGAAGTTCGTGCTGAAATACTTCCCGACCACCGAGCAGCCGGCCGACTGTCTAATGAAGGCGCTGCACTTCCCGGCCTTCAACCGGTGCTCCGTCGCAATCGGCCAAGCGCGGCTAGCCGACGTTATCGAGGGTGATACCTGCACGGCTAGTGCGGTGACGGTGTGCTATGTGTGGGGTGCACGCCGGCGATGAGTGTCCTCCGTAGAGTTCTGCCGTGCGGGCTCAAAGCCCTAGCGTGAGCGCGGCACGGGAGTGCTAACGGGAATGGAGTGTTGGCTCCGCCCTCGCTTGGGCGACGCCGACTTCCTGGTTGGGTGCGTGGGACAAGCAGCCGACCATACACTGTGGTCGAAGCTAGCCTTGGCGAGCAGCTCGATGGGTTTCGTCGAGTTGTAAGGGACCGCTGCGATGATGCCATCCACCTGAGGAACTCGACGGCTACAGCTGACCGAGCTGTTCGACAGACGGGCCGTCGACCATGAGGGAGGTCTTCAACGGGCGCGGTGGTTGATGAGGGAGTCCGTCGACCAGGACGCGCGCTGGGTGGTCGACCCGGTCGACCAGGTTTCCTCGACGAGGATCTGCGGAGGCAGCGACCGTCGGCGAGTTTGGGATGGCGAAGGCGACTTCGGGCTGGTTTCCCGACGTGGAGCTTCTAGCGCGATTGTCGGCACGTGGTCGACTTGGCACCTGCGCGACGGTAGGAAACGTGCTCGACTGTCGATGCGTATTTGCGAAGTGGGGTGCGCACCTGCGCTACTGTCACTCGCGGTTGCAACGCTGGCAGACCGCTCTGCTGCAATGTTGGCAGACCGCCTTGGTGCAGCGTTGGCGAGCTGCAGACTTGCTACATTGGCGGGTCGCTCTTCTGCAACGCTGGTGCGATTTTATTGTTCGTGTAGTTCCATGACACCGCTAGCCATATGCGCATCGCGTCGTGGGTTGGGGTCGTGCATTTAATGGCTTCAAAGTAAATTTCAAACATGGCTACAAATCTACCGGCGTCGCTCCCTTTCACGCTTGAATCAAATGCTAGTGGCCTCGGCTTCGCCCTCTTCGAGGTTTACTGTAGTCGTTGCCACTGTCGCATGTACGATTGTCAGTGTCGCTAGTGACGTCGCTGCAGCAGACGACTAGTTTGCGAGTAGATTTTTTAGTCGCAAAAGTGCCGCGAAGTCTGCTCGTGTTCGGCTCGGAGGTTTGCGAGCTCCTGTAGAAGATTGTCACCAGAGCCCTCCATGCCTGTTCCGTTAACCATTCACGAAAGGGGTTAAAAAAATCAGCGCATAACTAGTTTCACATACCCCAATCGGCGTGACTATCATCGCCCCCTCAGTGAGAACAGCATCTGGTTACCAAGTGTCATAATCAATGACCGAGTTTCAATTTTATATTACGAGCACCAGAATACAATGTCGTGCTATATATAGGCATGACACAATGCAGATAACCCAGGTGTTACAAGAAGCTACGAAGCTTCGGAAAGCGTTCGAAACGGGACATTTATGAAATCGGTAGAAGAATTTGGTGATATCCTCACGCACACAACGTCACTCAAGATAGCTCTAGAAGCTATAGTAGAACGGTTGTCATGCAATTGATAAAGGCGGTATTAGAGTAGATAGAACGTATGAATCCTTGATATGATTGCGTAGAGTGAATAGAAGAGTAACTGTAGCGAGGGAAAGCAACAGAATGGGACCAAACGAGGGCGGATCGACCAAGGCGGGAAATTAGGAATTATATGAGGGAAGGATTGCACTAGGTAACGGTAAGTGTATCCAATTTGTTGCCAGGGTCAGGACACATGCCAGACTGCTTGCTTGTTTGTTTTCTCTCCATTAGCTAAGAAATGAGTTACACAAAGCTACTGAGAGCCAGTTCAAGCCAAGCAGCCGGCCGAGTAACCTAGAGCTTAAGCGTAGGATGTAATGACCCAACTTTATACAAACAAGAAAGACTGAGTGCAACTGAAATCAGGATGGATACTACCCGTACGATTCCAAGTTGGCATGCACCCGCGAGTAGTAGAGGAGAAAAGAGCGAGCGAGCAAACGTCGAGGCGGAGCGCCTCCTCTGTATTTTGGACCCCACATCAACGGGAGAGGGATCAAATGTGAGATGGTGAAGGCAAGCCGATGGGGGCGTCGGCCTCGTGCACCGTGCTGCACGACTTAAAGTGGGCAAGTGAGGCGCAGGAGCCGTGGAAATTGCAGACGGAGAACGATTCGCCTCTACTGATGTTTGGGATGCGGGGAACCCTTCTACTGCCGAGGCGCCAATGGAGCCAAAAGGAGCACGTCGAGAAGGAAGGCCCGAGGGGGAGGCAAGATCTGGTGCCTGCAAAACGGCCATGGGGGTACCGGAAGAAGGGAGCGTGGGCCTCCAGCTAACGCGACGCAGGGACTCGGATTCTTTGCCGAAGGTGGAGGTAGCGGAGCACTTTACCGGAGTGCCATTGGCCCGTTCTTGAAAAACTATGTCATGCAGCTGTAGACGGCACGGTTTTGCTGGGAACGTGTCACCAAATATAATGGTAAGAGCATCATATTGGAGACATATGCTAATTGGGTGTAGAAGTGGTGTAGCGAGTGTTATTCAATCTGCATGTGGGGTAGTTGGGTTATAGAGAGTAGCGAGAAGTTGGTAGCATTGGGGGTTACAGGGCGCTTCGGGGACAATTTCAGGAACCTCGGGAGACAGGCAATCTGGCGAGGGCCACTCCAAGGCCTAGGCGGCTCGAGCTCAACCCAGCACGCTGAGTTACTCGCGACTGGGCAGCCAAGCACAAATAGCCTAGCCTAGCATAGCAAACCTGTTCTCTCGTCTTGTTTGCCTCATATAGTGGATAACGTTACCGCAACAAGGCTACGCTAGCTAGGTGACTACGCCACTGTGGGCAGCCATCGTGTGGGAGAGTATACTTCTCACAAGACGAGAGAAGCAGATAGGCAGTATGGACTGCCATGAGCTGCGGTGGCAGCGGACGTACTCGCGGCGGGAGATACCGCCGTCGCGAAGGATGCGCTCAAAGGAGCGGGGAAGATCGCCAGGTCGCTCGCCTAGCAGAGAGGCGGATCGGGCGGATTGGATGGCGACCAGTGACGGACTGCACGGTGAAGGCGAGCTCGGTCTGCAGATGAGATCGGCGCCAGGACCCCAGCCGTCGAAGAGCGATCCCTGGGATCTGGCAAGAGGCCAGCGGGGCGCGGGAGTAAGGCGTCAGGAGGATGCCGATGAGACGGACTCGCTGATGTTGGCAAAGGAGGCCGACGGCGAGGAGTTGGCGGAGGATGATCCCATGGACGAGGAAGAAGATCACTCGCCGGGCGACATGCGCAAGGCAGGCGAGAGGCGTCGTGGAGAAAAACGTGAAGAACGCGGAGAGGCGACGGGATTAAATCGCTCGACAGACGAAGTGTGTGGGAGTGGCGCAAGGCGACGCGGGAGCGCGGAGGCAGATGGCGCGACCGACGAAATGGGTGGGGGCGGCGCGAAACGCCAGGGGAACCGCGCGGATGCAGATCGCGCGCCAGAGGAGGTGCGCGGGAAGGAAGCGAGGTGCCAGGGGAATCGCGCGGAGGCAGATCGCGCGCCAGAGGAGGTGCGCGGGAGTCAAGCGAGGCGCCAGGGGAATCGCGCGGAGGCAGATCGCGCGCCAGAGGAGGTGCGCGGGAGTCAAGCGAGGCGCCAGGGGAATCGCGCGGAGGCAGATCGCGCGCCAGAGGAGGTGCGCGGGAGTCAAGCGAGGCGCCAGGGGAATCGCGCGGAGGCAGATCGCGCGCCAGAGGAGGTGCGCGGGAGTCAAGCGAGGCGCCAGGGGAATCGCGCGGAGGCAGATCGCGCGCCAGAGGAGGTGCGCGGGAGTCAAGCGAGGCGCCAGGGGAATCGCGCGGAGGCAGATCGCGCGCCAGAGGAGGTGCGCGGGAGTCAAGCGAGGCGCCAGGGGAATCGCGCGGAGGCAGATCGCGCGCCAGAGGAGGTGCGCGGGAGTCAAGCGAGGCGCCAGGGGAATCGCGCGGAGGCAGATCGCGCGCCAGAGGAGGTGCGCGGGAGTCAAGCGAGGCGCCAGGGGAATCGCGCGGAGGCAGATCACGCGCCAGAGGAGGTGCGCGGGAGTCAAGCGAGGCGCCAGGGGAATCGCGCGGAGGCAGATCGCGCGCCAGAGGAGGTGCGCGGGAAGGAAGCGAGGCGCGAGGGGAATCGCGCGGAGGCAGAACGCGCGCCAGAGGAGGTGCACGGGAGTGAAGCGAGGCGCAGCAGGAGCAAAGCAGCTGAGCCCTGGTCAAGGGAGCGAGGGGAGGAGGAGAAGAGGCGTGCTGCACCAGCAGGAGTGTATCGTTCGCCCGAGCCAGGACAAGGCCGTGCGGGCAGGAGGCGTATGGCGATGGGAGAAGGGAGATCGCTGGAATGGTCAGAAGAGGAGGAGGACGAGGATTACGAAGGAAAGCGCGTTCAGCACTCGCCAGCAAGGAGGCGGCGGCCAGCGGAGAAGGCGCGAGGCAGGGGTAGCATACGATCGCCACCCAGCGCCTCAAGGGAACAGGCGGGAGCGCGCCGTGAGAAAGCAGAAGAACACCTGTGGGCAGAGAGAAGGGCTACAAAGGAAACAAGCGAAGAAGCAAGAAGGTGGCCCGAGAGAGAGAGCCGTGAGAGGAGGGGCGAAGGAGAGCGATACCAAGGGGGTGAAGAGGCAGGAAGAAAAGGGGAAACGGGGAAACGGGATCAGGAACGCCGAGGCTGGGAAGAGTGTGGAGATTATGAGGAAAGAGACAGGTGGGACTCACCGGAAAGAGGAAGGGAGTGGAGGCGCGAGGAGGACTGGCGAGGCAAGAGAGAAGGTGTGCGGACACCAGAAGTCTCGAGGGCAGCAGAGAAGGAGCGACAGCGAGAGGACAGAGTGCGGCAGTACCAGGAGCGGTCCCCTGCAAGGGGAGAGAAGCGTCGGGAAGATGCAGAGAGGCGCTGGGAGGAGCGAGAAGATGCGCGAGGGAGGAGCCCTAGCCCGATGGGCCCGAGGAGGCCGGGGCGTCACGGCATAGGATCTGCTGGAGCAAGAGCAGCTAGGGAGGGAATAGAGCGAGTGCTGTATGGAACCAGCACGGGCAGCAGGGGAGAAAGGGAAAGGAGGAGAGGGGTTATGATGTCTGAGCAAGGAGGGACGGAGAGCTGGGAAACAGGGAAGTGGGGGGCAACAGCACAGCCACGAGTGGAGGTGCCAGTACGCTTCACGGGAAACGAGAAAACCGGCCCAAGTCTGAAGAACTATTTGATGCAGATCAGCAATGTTAAATACCGATGTGACAGAAGCGGGATGGACCCGATTGAGTTTTTTCTGAGCCTGCCAAGCGCGTTGGGAGGGGAAGCAGAGACTTTGTATCGCATGAAGATGGGTGAATGGCTGTGGAGGGCAGAAGAGGATGACGAGGACCCGACGGTACTGTTCCTGGAGCGTCTAAGGAAGCAGTTCCCTGGGCATACGGCAGCGCGCACCAGGGAATTCCAGGAGTTTAGGCGGAGGGACGAGGAGTCACTGCTGACATACTACGGACGGTTAATGAACCTGGCGGAAGACGTGGTGTGCACGGACAGCAGCATGATCATTAGCAAGTTTCTGAATGGTTTAGACAAGGGATTGGCAGGAGGGTTGAGAATGAGAGTCTATGAGCTAGGAGCAGATGCAACCCCAGAGGAGGTATTCGAGTTAGCAGAAAGGGTGGAGCTGGCGCAGAGGAAGTATGAGGTATACCTGCCGAGGACGATAGAGAAGAAGAGTCCTACCTGGGCAGCGGCGATGATACCAGGGGAGGGAGCAGGAGAAGAGAGCAAGCCGGAGAAAATGGCAGAGACACGCACCTGTTACCGGTGTGGACAGCCGGGGCACATAAGGATGCACTGCAGGAACTGCGATGCATGTGGGAAGCCAGGGCACCGCCGAAGGGACTGCCCGGAGGCACCGACATGTAAGGAGTGCGGAGAAAGGGGGCATGAAGCAAGGGGGTGCGATAAAGGGGCAGGCGGAACAAAAGGGTCACCAGAGGAGATCGAGAGCCAGATAATGAAGTTGCGGGCGCAGTTGCAGGCCCTGGGAGGGAGAAAGGAGAAAGAGGCTGGGTTGTACGCGAGGGAAGAAGGAGCAGAAGAGGAGGAAGGGCAGGAGCCAGAGTACACATGCCTGGCGTTACGTAGCCGTGAGGGACTGGGGCTGCGCAGTGGGGGCAGAGACGGAAGGAAAGGGCGGGAGCTGAGAGGAAGGACAGAGAGGCAGGCGGGGTTGTATGCAAGTGAGGAAGAAGAGAAGGAGGAAGGGGAGCAGGAGCCAGAATATTCCTGTGCGGTGCTGTGTAGCAGTGAAGCCATGGGGCTGCGCAGTGGGGGCAGGGACAGAGGAAAGGAGCGAGCCACGAAGGTAAGGGCATGGGCAGTGGCAGAAGGGGAACAGAAGGACGAGAAAGAGGAGGCGGAAGTGTGTGAATTAGTAGCAGCAGACACTGAAGGTAAGGATGAGAAGGTGAGGGCATGGGCAGCAGCAGAAGGGGAAGAGAAGGACGAGAAGGTGAGGGCATGGGCAGTGGCAGAAGGGGAAGAGAAGGGCGAGGAGAAGGAGGCAGGAGTGTGCGAATTAGTAGCAGCAGACACTGAAGGGAAGGATGAGAAGGTGAGGAAATGGGCAGCAACAGAAGGGGAAGGGAAAAATGAGAGAGAGGGGAGCTGGGCGTGCGTACCAGTAGCAGCGGAAGCAGAGGAGAAGGACGAGCAGGTGGGGGCAGGAGTGGGTGTAATGGCAGCAGTAGAAGTAGAGGAGAGGGACGAAGAGGCAGGGGCAAGGGCGTCTGTACCAGCAGCAGAAGAAGCGGAAGGGAAGGGCGAGAAGGAGGGAGCGGTGAAGGAAGGAGGGAAGACGGGGCTGAGCAGTACAGACATGGGAGGGAATGGTTGGCAGCCCTCGCTGAGGACAGCAGAGTTGTTCGGGGAAATCGGGGCAGGGGCGAAGACTGGTGTGACGATGAAGGATTGGATGCAAGCGCAGGGAAACAAGCTGGCGGAGCGGCATGTGAGGAAGCTGCGGGGAGGAAGGCCAGAGCTGCTGGGGGAAGCAGAGTGGGAGAGTAAGGAAGTGGGGGCATGGGAGCCCCTAGCAACAGGGGAAAAGGTAGACCATACAATGGAAGAGGCGGAGAACCGGGCGGCATGGGAGCGAGCTAAGGCAGCGGAATACTTGCAGGAGGTGATACCGGTGGCGGTGGACGACCTACATACCGTGCAGTTGAGGGATGCGTGCTGCTGTGAGAAGTGGCAGCAGCAGGAAGGCAAGGGGACAAAGGCGGCTATAGAGGTGGGACGGGAAGAGAGGGGCAAAGAAGGATACACTAGCTGTGGAATAGGGAAGAGTGAAGGGGAGGGCGCAAGCAGTGCGAGGCGTGGGAGTGCTAGTGTTGGAGAAGAAGAAGGGAGAACAGACCGGGGACCACCAGACCTGCACGGCAGGACTGAAGAGCAGCCGTCCTCAGCTGAGAGTCCTGTGACTCGCGCCCGAGCAGCTCGAGCACGAGCATAGGAGGGGGCAGGTAGTGGCTGAGAACGCAGAAGGGAACAGGGTAACAGGAGTGGGGACAGCACAAGGTGGGGAAAGGCCAGAATAAGAAGGAAGTGAAGAAGGTGAGGACAGAAGGCAGGGAAGAGGCAGGGGCAAGGGAGGAGTGAGGAAGGAGAAGGGAAGAACTCCGACAGCTGTCACTAAATATAATGGTAAGAGCATCATATTGGAGACATATGCTAATTGGGTGTAGAAGTGGTGTAGCGAGTGTTATTCAATCTGCATGTGGGGTAGTTGGGTTATAGAGAGTAGCGAGAAGTTGGTAGCATTGGGGGTTACAGGGCGCTTCGGGGACAATTTCAGGAACCTCGGGAGACAGGCAATCTGGCGAGGGCCACTCCAAGGCCTAGGCGGCTCGAGCTCAACCCAGCACGCTGAGTTACTCGCGACTGGGCAGCCAAGCACAAATAGCCTAGCCTAGCATAGCAAACCTGTTCTCTCGTCTTGTTTGCCTCATATAGTGGATAACGTTACCGCAACAAGGCTACGCTAGCTAGGTGACTACGCCACTGTGGGCAGCCATCGTGTGGGAGAGTATACTTCTCAGGTAGTGGCTGAGAACGCAGAAGGGAACAGGGTAACAGGAGTGGGGACAGCACAAGGTGGGGAAAGGCCAGAATAAGAAGGAAGGGAAGAAGGTGAGGACAGAAGGCAGGGAAGAGGCAGGGGCAAGGGAGGAGTGAGGAAGGAGAAGGGAAGAACTCCGACAAACGCGTTGGGCTTCACCTGTAAGAATTATTCAGGAAAATGGTAATCACCCTCGCAGGAGACGCAGAGACATTTTACCAAATGGTGCGGAGTGAAGTGTTGGAGAAATTGTCGTGTGGACTGATCGAGAACCTGATGGAGCGACTCATGCAAATATTGAAGAAGGAATTTGTCGGGCAAAAAAAGGTGTGGCTAGAGGAGTTTAAGGACTTCCGCATGAAGAAGGGGGGATCGCTGATATCATACTACAATAGGCTTTGGGAGTTGGCTGAGAACTAGGAGAAACAGGACGAACAACTTCAAGTGCAAAAGTCCGTACGAGGGCTCGATGAGGAACTACGGGCGGTGGTGCAGACGACAGTGTACGGTATCGGTGCAGGCGTGACCTTGAAGTAAGTAGACGGGGTGGCCAAGTGAACGGAGCATGCATAAGGTCTACTAGACCTGGAAGATGGAGATTGGCAGCCGAAGATGTGGACCAGATGGGCAGAACCAGCACTTCTAGAGGCAGAAATGGGCACTCGAGAGCGAGCTGATCGCCGGCGCTGCCACATCTACGGAGAACCAGAACACTTGCGTTGGGAGTGTCCTAAGGCACCTATTTGAGAGAAGTGCGGAAAGAAGGGTCACCGGGCCGACGAGTGCTATTACGGGCGGAATGTAACAGAAGGTTTGCTTTACGAAGAACTTCAAACAGAGGTACGTAAGCTGCAGCTACACCCGAAAGGGTTGCCTAAAATGGGCCCGGGGAGTCATGCGATGCTGGCTATCAAGGATGAAAGCGAGGTGGAGCTGGCAGAAGAAGAGCTGATGCGAGATTTTGGCTTGATGGCATACTCGAGTGAGCAGAATGCCCTAGACTTCCATCCCCAGCCGGAAGCATCCGAAGCTACAAGTAGCAACAGCCGGAGAGAGAGGAGAACCAAGCGAAGAGAAGGAAGACTGAGCAGCAAAATGCGGCGACACCCGAACGGGCGCCTCATGTGCTAGGCCTCGGCTCTCATCGCCGAGAAGGGGAGTTTGACGGTGGGAGGTTTGCTAGTGATGCAAGTCGTCATAGATACGGGCGCTCATCACGTTCTCATCAGGTAGGGATTAGCTTCCGTCAGATCGGTTTGCTGAAACTAATGATTGGGGAGGAGCCTAGACCGAGTGACCCCATGCTGCAGGAAGATTGGGATGAGCGCTCCTCGGCTGGCTACTATTTGATGTTGCAGAGTTTGGAGCTAAACCAGCATCACCACGTTATGAACCTGCTGCCAGAGGTTGAGTGCGGTCCGAAGGCGTGGACCGTGTTGAAGGAGCTGCATGCCCCAACCTCCGTTGTCGCAACGTTGATGCTGGAGAGGGAGCTGTCCGCGTTGCGCCTGAGCGAGGGAGAGCCGATGCAACCTGTCCTCGACAAGATGCGCGACCTCTACGCGAAGTTGGCGACCGTGGGAATCACCTACCCGGAGCAGACCAAGTGCTTGAAGATGCTCTCGCTGCTGCCGGATTCGTGGCTTCAATTCACGAGCGGATTGAGCATGCCGCAGAACCAGAGCTCGTGGACACTCGAGTGGGTGCGGACAAAGATTCTGGAGGAGGACTTCCGTCGCCGCCAACTGAGGGGTGGAGACGACCGCAGCAGCGGCTATGGGATGCAAGGGAGCCGACGTGGCAGGGGACGAGGCTTCGGTGGTGCTGGGCGTGGTGCAAAGAAGGACGACGACTCCAACGACCAACAAGGAGGTACCGGTTGGGGTCGCGGTGCGAAATCTGGACGTGGGGGCAAGTCGGGTGCTGGTGGCAAAATGAAAGGGAGTTGCTGGTATTGTGAGAAGGAGGGGCACCCCTGGTTTTTGTGCTATAAGAAACCCGATGGATGGACCCCCCAGAATCGTCACCAGGATGGCGGCGCGCGGAGGAACCAGAAAAACAACACGAACATGGTCGCCGATTCGTCCGACAACAACCCGAAGAGCAACGGCGGTGCGGAGAAGAAGAAGGAGCGCACGGCGGGCCAGTTCTTCCATATCGGAGAGCAGGGGGAGCAAGGAGACGCCTCTGCCAATGTTGGAGCAGAGCTGCACCCCCTGGACTATTGGGTGTTGGAAACGGGCACTGCTTGGATGATGACGCTGCGCAAGGACCTGCTGGACGACGTACACGCTGCACTGATCAATGAGGTGTGCTCCACCTCTGGACACGCGCTGAAGGTGGCTGGTGCGGGATGAGCTGCGTTAAAGGGAGCGGACAGCAAGCCGGTGGTGCTGCATGACGTTCTACTCGTTCCTGATCTCAAGGCCAACCTCATCTCCCTCCGTAAGCTTGCCAAGGCTGGGGTGAACACTAGCACGGATGGTGCACGCACTTACAAGGGGCAGCTGGGCAGTCGGGTGCTTTGGGATCTGCACGAGAGCAACGACGTGTACAGATCCATGTGGCAGCTGCCGGCATTGGCGTGGCATGGTGGGGGGCAGGCTGGAGAGGGGTCTGCATCCCAGGGGGAGTGCAACGCCGTTGGAGGGGTTGGTGTGAGTGTCGGCCAGATCTGGGGAGACGGATTGGGCAACGGCACACCGACGCTTGGGGCACATGGCAATGCCCTTGTTGAAGCAGTTGGAGAAAGATGGAGCCGTTAAGGGTCTGAAGCTGAACGGACAGCCACCCGATGATAACTGTGAGATATGTTTGCTCTCAAAGTTTACCTGTTTTCCCTTCCATAGTGTGGCTGGCAGGAGCAAGAAGCCGTTGGATCTGGTCCACATGGACTTGGTGGGGCCGCTGCCGTTTTAGGGGCACATGGGGGAGCGGTATTTCCTAACCATTTTGGATGATTGGAGCAGGCTTATGTGGGCGTATCCGCTGAAGCAAAAGGGCCACGCCGCCTTCACGATACGGGAAGATTGGCTGCCATTCGTGGAGAAGCTAGCGGACTGTGTGGTGAAGCGAATTAGGACAGATCGGGGTGGTGAGTTCCTTGGAGCTGAGATGACGGCGTGGCTCAAGAAGCAGGGCATCCAGAGGGAGCTGACCACGGCTTACACCCCACAGTCTAACGGTGTGGCAGAACGGGCGAACCGGACAATTCTGGAGACAGCTAGGGCGCTGCTCATAGAATCTGGGCTGGGCAACTTGATGTGGCCCCATGCTGTTCGGCACGCTGCCGTCGCTAGGAACAGGGTGCTCACCAAGGTTGGGGATGACTCGTGGTTTCCGTTGTAGAGGTGGCTTGGGAGGAAGCCGCCGGTGGACATCCTGAGGGTGTTCGGTTGCATGGCAATCGCCCACGTCCCCAAGACCTACCGCAGTAATTTGGGGGCGAGTGCAATCTGGTGTATGCATTTGGGGCTGGCTGCCGAGAGCAAGGGATGGCTGCTGTGGGAACCTTCCAAGGGTGTGTTGTTTGACAGCAGGGATGTGAAGTTTGTTGAGGGCATGATGTATGGGAGCTGGGAGAAACAGCTGGAGGCCAAGGTATCCCAGCATATGGAGCAGATCACCATGCAGCTGGACCTGACTCCTAGTGTGTGGGAGGAGGAAGAGGAGGCAGCTGCAGAGGGTGGTGATGGATAGAACGTTCAGGAGGCACCTGCTGGTGGAGAAAATGGTGTGGAAACTGGCGGTAGCCCCACTGGAGCTGCTGGATCCGAGAGAGGAGAGCAGCAGCAGGGGAAAACTGAGAAGCCGAAGGGTGTCGTTATGAAGGGAGGGGAGACACCCGTCTCCAGGCCAGGAGGTACCCGTATGGCTACTAAAAAGCTGACTGCAGGATCAGGTGTAGCGGAGCAGCAGCTTGGGACCGAGGAGGCATTGCTGATTCTACCGCATGGCTATGACCCGGATGAGGAGGATGAACCTGCCTACTGTTTTCTTGCCCCTGCACCAGAGGAACCAGCTAGCATGGAGGAGGCATTAGCTGGACCAGATAGGGAGAAATGGCTGTTTTCTAGGGATGATGAGTACCAGAGCCTGCTAGAGAATGGGACATTGGATCTGGTGGTGCTGCCTGAGGGGAAGAAATCCATACAGTGCAAGTGGGTGCTAAGGATCAAGACCGATGACAAGGGACAGGTCACCATCTACAAGAGTAGGCTGGTGGCTAAGGGGTTTATGCAGAAGGAGAAGCAGAACTTTAATGAGATCTTTATTCCCACTGCCAAACCCCCTACTCTCCGTGTCTTGTTGGCAGATGCAGCCGTTAGTGGGAAATTCATCATTCAGATGGATATATCAACAGCATTCATCCATGGGATTTTAGAGGAGGATGTGTACATGACGCAGCCGCCTGGGTATGAGGATGGTACGGGCAGGGTGTGCAAGCTGAAAAAGTCCATCTACGGCTTAAAGCAGGCGACACGCTGCTGGTACCAGAGGTTGGCAGCTGTTTTAGAGGAGATGGGATTCAGGACCAGCAGCTGTGAGGAGAGAAGTATGGGATTGAGAATGAGAGCAAGGTTGCAACTCCCCTGCCAGCAGAATTCAAGCTTGTGAAGGCTGCAGAGGATGAAGGGGTTGAGGTGCTGAAAGAGAAGGGGGAGCGGCTTGGAGAAGGCAAGCTGTCTCTCACTTGCTTTACCGATGCTACGTGGGCCTCTGAGAAGGAGGATTCCTCATCTGCGTAGTTGGGGGAGGACCTGTTAGTTGGAGGTCCAAGAAGGAGACAGACACGGCATTCTCCTCAGTGGAATCAGAGTACTTGGTGCTGTTCCATGGGGTGAAGGAGGTGATTTGGGTGAGGAGGCTGTTAGAGGAGATTGGCCAGGAGCAGAAGGTTGCTACGCTGCTGTTTTGTGATAGCAAACGGGCTCTTGGGTTGGCCAGGAATGCTGCGCTTCATGGGCTGAACAAGCACATGCATATCAATTTGCACTGGCAGCGTAAGGAGGTAAAGAGTGGGACGGTGAATCTGATCTATATCAAGTCTCACCA